AAAAATATTTAATCAGAAAAACACAATTTTTACTTGCATTCTTCTAGATATAAAGTATATTTTTTTATAAAACTGTTAAATTAAAATTTGTATGATTGAAAAAGGTATCTCATATTTGATCTCAAAAAATATTGTTTGTTTTTCAGCTCTGTTTCTTGCTGCACTGATAATCATGGCATTGTTCAGCGTCTACTTGGTTGTATATCCTATCCCCTGGCTGGCAGAACAGTTTGAAGTCAGTATCTTGTGATTTAAATTTTAAAATTATGATAAGGTTGTCTTACACAATCAATCATCTTAAGAGCAGACAATATAAAGAAGTCATAAGTCACTTTCATTGTTAAGTTGATGAATTCAAACTGGAATACAAATAATTTTATTTAAAGAAATTGCGGAAAGAGATTTGATTATTTTATGATTAACATAACATTTTCTTCATGTCAAGAAACGCTAATCTATTTTGAGATGTTTTGTTGGTGTTACTGGCCAGCAAGTCAAGTTTGAGTACAGTGTACATCTTGGAAAACATACACTGGATGTTAAAGCAAACCTTTCCTGACATCTTTCAGTTAGTTTTATTTCTTTAGATCTTGAAAAAGCTTGGAAAAAGGTATTAAGAAATGTACATATTATATTTCATTCACAAAGAGTGATTAAGATTAAATCCATAAATTAAATTTACCAAATGTGCAGCTTAAAGTTTATAGAATATATATATGTGTGTGTGTGTGTGTGTGTGTGTGTGTATGTAATATACTAGCTGATGTACCTGTTCATTGTACAGGGGAAAAAATAAAGGGCCCATGGGGAGTGACAGAGTCAGGCCAGATCTATATTCAAACTATAAGCATGAAAGGCAGACATACAGTAGCCCCTGGAAAGACACTGAATGCAGAACCCATTTTTTGGGGTCCTTAGGGTACATACCATGTTTGTCTGAGATTGTCAAAAATATTTTTAGTAAAAGGCAGACATGCAGTTGGCAGTTTTGCTTTATATATATATATATGTATATACATGTGTGTGTGTGTGTGTGTGTACATATACATATGTATGTATGTATGTATGTGTGTGTGTGTGCTCAGAAAGAAATAAGACTTGCTTCCTAAAGACCAACCATGTCAGATGACAACTTGATGTACATTGTGGCATGGAGAATATAAGCAACTATACAGTTCATAGGTGCTTTAAGAACTTCTGTTGTCTCGAAATTTTATCTACACAGATTTTCCTTGTAAAGACCGAAAGGAGGAATATTCACTTTTTATATTTGTTTAATCATTAATGCATGTATGCCTCATATTTCAGTAAAAACATGGTTATAGCCTATTATTTAAAACAAATAATTACCACTTTTTCATTGTGTTGCATGTCACAAATTGTGGAGATACATGACTCGTGATTTTGTTAACAGTGGATGGATATTGATCTATAAACAAGATTATTTATTGAGCTTGTATTACTTGTATTCAGCTGTTCAGCATAATAGAAAAAAATCCTGTTCCTTTCTGAATGCTCCTTATATGATCCAAATTGTTCTGATATAATGTCATTTGATGATTTACTGAGAATTACTGGATGTGTTAAAGGAGCACAAGAGAGGTTCTAGATCATTTTTTTTGGAAAGAGCTAATTTTGGAACTTGTGTGTAATATTAAATGATACCAACACCTGATGTCCAATGTGCAGCTTACTACTGTCTACACACACAAACAGAAGCATACATATATGATTGTTTAGAAAATGAGAGAAAGCCATGTTTTTATCATTTAATTTTTATAATACTCAGTGTTGGTTTTGGTATTTTTAAATTTCATAATAATAATAATATTGTAGGACACTGACATAAAAGTATAATATCAACTTATGGTTAATGAGCCTAACAAAATCTATAATTTTATCATCAATGAATGATATGTAATGACTTTCAAAGTTTATTTTAAGGTGTATTGCAACTTGTTACATACAAGATTTGAAGAGTTTTAATAATAAATAACTAAACCTTTTAACAAAGATTTATCATATAGGTTTTGATCTTGAATTGTGATATATGTTATGACATTCTATTTTATTTGGTATCATGTAGCACTACATTAAAAAATTTAATTTGACTGATTTTTTATTTTTTCAGTTTCAACTTGAGGGTACAACAATTGAGTTTCGATGTAGTGCAGTTGCTATTGCATTTGGTCATTTTCTCATTGCGTATATTGCAGAGGTAAGTTAAAATAGGAGTTAAATAAAGATATTATCTTCCTTAACTACATTAGAAATGAGACAGTTCCTAGAAATTTTTTTATGGACGTCTTTTGAATTACTGAATTCTTCATGAATCTTTTTTATTAGATTAAATATCCATCAAAACCTTTCTTAACCCTTTTGCATTGGGTAGGTGAAAGTGCACACATTACAACCTTTCACAGAGTTATATTCAAAATTTAATTAAAGTACTTTATTATCAACATATGCAAATAAACTTAGCATCAAAATGTAGTTAATAAATCAAATATTAATATTATTTAAGTTTTAAATTCTTACTTTTATAAAGAAATATATAAGAAAAAACCTCATTCTCCCCTAGTATGAGAACTGTGATGTTTCTTATCTATGTTTTTCCCTCTTCTTTAATTTCTTTACCCCCTCCAAGAATTCAATGTAAATTACTCATTATATTACAGTTATTGCTCAGGAAAAACTAGAAAATGAGACCCCCCTGCCACATCCTCTCTTTCACAAATTCCCAATAGTTCTTTCTGATGTTTAATATCATATTATAACCAATATTAGACCAAAGTTTCAATCTATCAAATGGCATGTTATAATATGTTTTCTGCACAGATAATTGTCAGTTTCACTTCCAGTTTAAGCCTGATTTCCATGGGAATAACATTGATGAGCTTAGCTGAATTTCTAATGGCTTTTATCGCATAGTTAAAAAAACAGAATAATTGTGATAGTTATGGGACATATTCTACTTTTTGCATGTTATTACTCATGTTCTATGGAGCATTACTTAATTAAATAAAAACATTTTTTATTGCAGTAGTACCATTAGTCTAAAATAAAAGTAGGGCTAAGTGTCATTGACAATCGACAGCAAAAAGATGTCCCAGGTAAGTACATTATTTCTTGTTTTTCATGTGTATTCTTTATTTATTATTATAAAAGTAATTTTAAAGTTAGAAAACATGGATTAGATAAAATAAAGAATTAATAATAATAATTTGTTTTCACTAGGTATGTTCGCAAGTAGCCCATGTGTTATGCAATTTGATAGGGTAACATGAGCTACACATTTGCCAAGTAATTTCAAATTTTAAGACAGGAATATTAGTTGAGACATGGTTCAAAGGCCAATAAAACAATAAAATGCTGTTATGATATTTAAGCTATCTAGGATAAACAAATCAAGTTTCATGTTATTGTTACGTCTCTGTATGTTTGTTTGTTAATTCTTCTACGATACAAGTCCTTTCTTAAATAAAACTTGTTTATTTTTCCTCAATACAACTTTGTAATACTCTTAATTTTCACAGTTACACTCTATAGTTCACAACAATTTACTCACTTTCTACCGCGCTTAGACTTAATTGTCCGTCTCTGCCAACTATAGTTCCGATCTCTGTATCTGCTATCCTCGGTTCCTGCTGACCATAATCTCTGTCCTTGATTCCCCACTCTTTCTTTCTCTCTGCCTACTTCGTGTCTGCTTCTGCTTCGTCTCTCTCACTGTCTAGCGCACTTATATACGATAATACCGCCTGTTCTAGAAACTTCTAGGCTCTCAACATGTGCTACCAGCGTCACTTTACTTTCGCTGTCGTAACACACTAGCGAATCTTCTAGAATACTCGTCATGTGACCCCCGCTGTCGTAACACACTAGCGAATCTTCTAGAATACTCGTCATGTGACCCCCACTGTCGTAACGCTGCCCCTTCCTTAGTATTGTTCATCTCAGAACAATAGCCACTTACATTAAACCAATAAACAATTAACAATTGCTTAATGTACAGAATATACAAACACAAAATCAAAAGTCAACAAAGTCTTTTAATTTTACTGGACGTATCTTCTTCCATACTGGTCTCCGTCTCGTTGGCTTCTGCTTCAATTGGGGTTCATCTGCTTCATCAGGAAATGTCCTATCATTGGTAACAATCACATCAGTAGTAGTAACTTCATCAAGGGCTTCACTGTTTCCCTTCTCAAAACCGAATAGAGTTTCTTCTTCGACAGTGGCTTTTTCAGGTGACATGTCTTTAGCAGCGTCATTTGTTCCGTTGTTCACTTCATCCCAACTGAAATGTCCTGGACCGTGATAACGCCAAAGCCTGTTGGCATGCACCACCTTTGGCTTACGTCGCTGACCACATTTTTTCCAGAAAGTCACGTCTGAGAGATGATCCACTATGTCATATGGGTCTTCCCATGGAGAAGACGACTTAGGAGACTTCCCTTTGGTCTTCCTGGGATTATACAACCACATCTTGTCTCCTGGTATAAAGCTAACTTCAGTAGATCTCTTATCATAAGATAACTTCATCGAATCAGCAGACGTTTTCAAGTTTGAAAGCACTTGATGGTGAATATCATCCATCCTTTCTGTTAACACTTTCACAAATTCTGACACATTTTCAGGTAACTCTTCATAAAGTGGGCGTCCTGCTAACAGATCCACTGGCAACCGAAGTTCTCGACCAAACATCAACTTTGCTGGAGTGTATCCAGTGGCTTCATGCTCTGCTGTCCTATAGGCCATCAGCAATGGAGGCAGTAAGACATCCCAGTCATCTTGTCGGCTGTTACAAAACTTTGCCAATTCCTTTCCCAGTGTCCAGTTGTACTTTTCTACCATGCCATCGGACTATGGGTGAAGTGGAGTTGTCCTGGTCTTTTGGATGCCAAACACCTCGCAGCATTCTTGGAACACAG